CCAGGACCCGTTTTCGAATTTCTTCCAGCCAGTCCTGCAGCTTGAGGGCCCGTGGTTAGAGTTCCATAAAATCTGCTTTTGGGGCTGCTGGATAAATGCTGTGCAGGGGTCGTCGGCTCCCCGCAACCCAGTCCCAGCACCCTCTGTCACTAGCTCACCGGACAACTGCTCAGGGCTCAGGTCATCCGGTGACACGACTCCAGAGCTTCATCTGCAATCACCACGAACCAGAAAAGCCCCAGGACTGCTTTGCGCCCACAGAGCGGGGTGTCATGCGATATCCACAGAAACAGAAGGGCTGGGAGCGGCTGGGGGCGGGGCAGAGCCTGGAGAGTAAAGCTGCTGGAGCGAGGCCACCAGCCGGCCCCTCCCTGACCCTTTCTGGACCCTCTGAGGTGCTAACGAGCTGTGACAAGAAGAAGATGGTGACATTTCCAGGGAACTGGGACTCTGACCCTGGGAGGTGGCCGTCCATCAGAACTGAGCAACCCACACACTAGGTATTAAACAATCTGTAGGAGCCTTTAACGGTTTTAACATAGGCATTTGGGCTGAATGCTCCAAAGGTCACCTCTAAGTCCCTCAGAACAAGGCGCAGGTCTCCAGCCCTCCTCGGCCGCCTGCTGTGCTGTGTCAGGCGGGGTTAGTGAGAGCGGAGCCCGGGATTGCCAGAGATGACCCCATAAACCACCGAGCTCCTCACTCACTGCTTTGATGACGCCCCCTCCTCCAAGTGCCCCACTCATCGCTACCGCCGCTCAGTACCCGCCACCCGCACGGGTTTGTCTTAGAATAAAGACATGTGGATGCTTCAAGTAATGGTACTAAAACGCCCTAACTTTAGATTTAGTATCTGTCAGGCACTTAGAGCCATTATTATCCCACTTGTCCCTCCCACCGTGTGTGCGTGCGTGCGTGCGTGTGTGTGTGTGTGTGTGTGTGTGTGTGCGCGTGTGAACCCACAGGCTAACAGGTGACAGCAGAGAAGGCCCCTGGGGAGGCTGGACAGGGACATGGCTAGACTTCCAGGAAAGATGGGGAGGTTACGCCCTCAGGCTCGGAGGCAGGGGAGGGCACCGTGGGACTCAGCCCTGGCACTAGCGAGGGCCTCTGGGAAGTTTCCCAGAGAGGTTTTGCTCGCCTTCTTTCAGACACTGGTTAATCGAGGGCTGTGGTTAAGAGGAGGAAGTTGCCCAGCCGGCCTCGGCGCAGCCACTGTCAGCCTGGGAAGCACTGAGGACGGACCCCACTGGGCTGGCTGCCACTGCAGACCCTCCCCTGGCGAGGCCTGGGTGCAGGGACTGGCCAGTCCCCTCAAGGGCACCTCTGGAGACAGGGCAGAGGAAGGGAGGGCTGCCCAGGGCGGGGCATTATAGAAACAGCTAGTGTGACTGGGGGAGGATGGAAGGACTTCTGGGTGTAGGAACGGGCAAAAGACGCAAGGGAGAGGGGCGTCCAGCCAGGGGCCAGAGCCCGAGGCCCACTGGCCGCATTTCAGCAACCTCTGTGCATGAAGGAGCAGAGGGCGGCCAGCCAGGCACGCTGGCTCCTTGGCGGTCACTTTCACGGCGTGGGAAGTGGCAACAACGGGGACAGGGGGGTGGGGGGGCATCGTCTGTGCACAGAGCTGTCCCTATGGGCAGAGACAGACAGACACGAGGAAATGCCGAGTGCCGTTTGCACTCCACAGAGATGGCTCCGCGATGGATCCTCGCTCTGCCTGGGACCTGTTTAAGCCGACGTCCCTCGTTTACCCAGGTCGGCTACCCCAAACGCCCCTTTTATGTTAGGGTGGGATTAAGGGGTGTAACGGCTTTAACCTGGGGGTCTGCATTCCTGGAAAGGCTTCTGCCTTCCGTCTAGAAGGAAATGCATCAGCTTCAAAGGCATCCCAGGTCACGGAGTAATCGCCATAGTAAGTCTGAGAATGAAGGTGACCTGTAGGAGCATGGCACCTACGCGATTTCCTCTGCTCAGGGAGTGAATTTTGATTATAACTCGGCACTTGCCTCAGGTCCTAAAATACCGTCAGCATTCACGGGAAAGCTCGGGGAAGGACAAAGTGCAGAAAAGCTCCCACGAGGGAAAACACAGGCTCCCCAGCCCTCTTTGTAGCTGCTCGCGCTCAGAAAATTGAAAGCGAGGTTGCCGTCCCTCTGTCCTTGGTCACCATTTCATGTACCAGCCTGTCATACAAAGTGCAGGGAAGCACCGCGGATCAATAGCTATTCTGGGCCAACATTGCCACAGCTCTTTTTTTTTTTTTTTTTCTTTAAAAGCAGCATTTTCCCCCCCAGCGGATCACAGCTTATCACACGCAAGGCATGTTTCTGTGGTCTGTCTATGGAAATTGATGCTTAGAAGGGGCATTTTTCTGTTGAGATTTTATGCACCTTTTAATCTAAGCGATGGGGGCAGTAAGGCTCCCCTAGAATTGCTCCGTTAAGGGCTCTGCCAGTGACTGTTAGCCCTCAGCCTTGAGCAGTGGGTAAAGTGGCCCGATGGGTGCCTGGACCCAGGATGAGCATGTAGTGCTCATGGAAACCTCCAGGGAGGCAGCCCGGGCTGCAGAGGCCTCTCTGCCAGCACAGCCTCTGTGAGTCCTGCGTCCCCTGGTGGCATTAGCAGCGCTCAACTTGCTTTGTTTACCTGCGGTGAAGCTCTTCTGAGCAAAATCTCTTATGTGGTTTTTCTTTTTTTCTTTTTAATGGAGAATGAAACGCCAAATGAGAATGTATTTGAAAAAGTGAGCCCTGGAAAATAGCCTCTCAAAGCATATGTCACCTATTTTTATGTTGCTGCTTATATGGTTCCTAAGTTGGCTGATGGCTCTAAGTGACAACTTTTGAAGTTCCAAATGGACTCCTACATATTATGAGCAATAATATAATTTTTTTTTTTTTTTGGAGGAGAGGGTTATAAAGCACATCCGCCTCTAGGATTGTTTCAACTCATCGAGGCACGGGGGAGGCAGGATAGGTATTCGTACATTCATTTTGAAGGTGAGAAAGGAAAGGCTCAGACAGGTTGAGTCTTTCGCGGTCACGTAGCTGGTCAGAGCTGACCCAGGACCCACACCCTGACCCTGGACTTCTGGGCTCAGGCAGCAGGACTGCTCGTCCATACCAGGCACACATCGCTGAAAATTTATGCATTTCGCCCTGCTCCACACCGAGAGAGCTCAGCAACCTTCTCTTCCTCCGTCACCAGCTGTGGTCAGTGAACCATTTAAATTCAAACTTTGGAACTGCGAACTCTCATAAACAATTTTTAAATGTATTGAAATGCAGAACGGCAGTAAACAAAATTTCTAGCCACAGGGAACTCACTAATGAAAAGTGACAAAGTACTGGGAGTGCGAACGCGTTCTCGAAAGTGGCCGCAAAGCGGAATTCCGAATCCTATGTTAATGTGTACCCCGCACACTTGCTTTGCCAAGGATGACCAGTGGTGAATTCTCCTTAAGAAACTAAGCCATGAAGAGAAAAATAGCGAGATGAAGGGGCAGAGAGACAGCAAGACAGAGCACAGGCACGAGAGGGGCGAGCCGTCACATGAGATGCTGTTAGTCACAGCTTGGGAACCTCGGTCCCTAGGTGGGTGCACCACAGCCACCCCAGAACCGTCCATCACCCCTCTACCCAGCACTGGCCTTGACATATGGCCCCAGGGGCTTCAGGCCGCTGTCCCCTCCTAGGGGACCTCCAGGAATCCAGGGGTAAGGGCTGGAGGCACCCCTGAGCGCTGGCCTGCAGTGCCCCATCCGGGAGAGTCTGACTTCACGGGAGTTTAGAAAGAGATGAGCAACAAGCAACGCT